TTGGTGAGCGATCCGAGCGCACGCGTGCATGCGTGAGTACACACACACACACACACACGCTTTGCCACACACACACGCACCTCATCAAATAGACTGTGCTTTCAAACTGGTTTACTCCGTGCGGGAAGATTGGCATCATCACTGGTTGATCTGAAGTGAAAATAAGGAAAATTAATTTTCGCGAGAAGTTGTTTATCCATGTGCTTCATTGAGTTGTTGGAGTGTAGTTGTGATGAAGTAATGGAATCTATCATTTGATATGAGGAAAAACAACATAGACTTCTTATAATCCAGTTGTTACGTGTTATGCGCCAGAACGAATGTATCTTCTTCCGTTTTATGATTTCTTCCAAAGTAACGTATATNNNNTAACTTTTAGATCACCAGTCACTAATTGTAATCATCCCGCTTTCCTCTAACGAACGGGTATAGTTCAAAGATGAGTCCCGCAGCCATATTTCGTCAGTCATCTGACAAACGTGATTCTCATGTTCAGGTTGTAGAACACCAAAGACGGTAATACTCAACCGGACCATTCAGGTACGTTTATCTGCACAGATTGTTCAGTGGCGCAGTTCGCATTGTACCGCGATGACATTCGTTTCGAGCAATAGTTTGAATCCGCACGTGCTAAACTAAGTGATGTTGAGCTAAGTACTATCATGTCTTGTTTATTGGGACCACCTATATTTCGTTATTCCAAGTTCCAGTGCTTAGGCCAACGGGAATGGGAACTTGTGATCAGGGAGTTGTTTGATTCTGTCGTTTATCTAACTAGCGGTAAACCAGCGAAAGAGAGTTAATTTTAGCCTCTACAAACCTTCACGAATTCAAACGTTGTTCACTTCAGTGCTCTTTACTGCCTGTTTGTCAGATTGAGTTAAGCAAACTCGGAACACTTCTAACCTTGATGACACCCACACCTAGACATGTGTTTATTATCTGAACAGTCCCACAGAGCACATTTTCAAATAGAACAAGGAGTGAAGAACAAGCTCGTTTTCAGTGATTCGTATTGTGATGTATTTGGCATGACTACGAATCACTGAAAACGAGGTTGTTCGCCACTCCTTCTTCTATTTGAGAATGTGTATATATTGTCAAAAGTAAAATCCGTCTAACAAAACGTAGGTCACCTGTCAACCTGATATTCTGTCTACCTCAATGCAATGTTTATCACCTGTCGAGACAAAACGTTTGTTCACTGTCAATCCAAATAGTCAATGGGTTCTGTCAGCGCGTATGGTCGAGCAACCGCAGATGAAGTGGGAAATGGAGACTGATTTAGCTTATATCACGAACGGTTGTGTAACGCCATGTCCTGGTTTCTCTTCGCAAAGTCACATAGCGTGACTTTTTCCATGGAGTAGTATATCTCTCTTCGATGATTGATTAGAAGCGCCTTCAGTGCATCATCTTCTTGTAAAAGCAACATATTACAAATTGAGAAGGAAGCGACATTGGTCGTTTCATTTTATATAAAACCGTTAACTAGCTTTTGTGCAAAAAATCAGATATTATAACTTACGGACTTTCAATCCATTACCATTCAGTTTATACATTCATTTGCTGGATTTCTTTACTATGGTGAACGATATTCACTAGTTATGTGGAGTAATTACTCGAATTTACTTTGCTTATATGATACTGAACATGAACTTATTCCGGAATCAAACGGTGGGAGGTATCTCTGTACGAGTATTCTCCTCGCTATTTATTTATACGGATCACGTTTCAATCAAATTTCCACTGCGGTTTGGGGAACGGCAAATCTCGCGCAAGCCTCATTGAACAAATGTGTGGCATACTTTGAGAGTTTATGGCTTCAAGAATATTAATGAAATGTTTCATAACTGGTATGTTTTTGGTCACAGTTGGTGGCTAGCGGATTCGGTGAAACGGACATTAGTTCCTTAATTGAAAAGGGATATATTGAACTAATACGTTTGTCAGAAGTTCACCGTTGATCAAATATTTAGATTCAGTGTGAACAGTTAATTTCCTTGTAGAAGCAGCTGACCGCCTTTAAGGTCAATCGAGACTGTTACGCGACTAAGAGACGTGAGTAGAACTTTTCACAGAGGACGGTCGTTCATTCCCGCCCGGGAAGAGGGGTACATGTTGATCCCTTCGGGCACACTGGAATGATACGAGATGAACGACAGATATCTTATCTACATTCCTGGTTAGTTGGTCGGGTGTTATACTCAGATACGGTTAGCATTTACCAGTACCACCCTTAGGCGATCATGGCAACGTTTCTGTTTCTGAGAAGTCGTGATGAGGCATTTTGTATGAAGCGCAGTACACAGTGGGGTCAAATTAGCTCTTTTCGGTTCACTCGTGATTTTATGCATATTGCAACTGAACTGGGAAACACGAATGTTAGCTAATTACTTTCAGAGGAGTTTCGGTTTTTTTATAGTTTGCTTCTATTTAATTATAAGTACACGACGTATGGTTTTCATCGGCCTGGACAACGAGTTCACAGTATGTAACCCTTCACTCCGCATGCATCGTGGACGACGGCATGTGAGAAAACGTGAATCAGTCGCGTCGATCACCCGGGTGGAAATCGCGAGTCAAAAATAGTAGCAGAATCTCCTTCCAAATCTCTTAGTTCGTTCGTTTGATTTGCACAAGTAATAAACTCGAGGCCGCGCAAAACATTTAGGTTAAGACTGAGTGTTTGGAGAGTTTTGCGAGAGGATAAAGTCTGAGCGATAAATGAGTAAACTTGAATAAAAGAGTAAACAGAATTGTGCACAGACATACACAATATTCACGTTCTTAATTCACCCCATGTATTGAAAAAAACAATTTAGGAGATGAATTTCTTATCAGAGCACCAATGGCAAGCAGGCTACGTCAAAAATGGATAAAAACTACAAGCGGTTCTGCGTCTAAATACCTACATAGAACTGACTTCAGGATCACTTAATCTGAAGAAATATCGTTTTACTATAAAATGTTTACATTTCCTTTCCACCTGCAAGTGCGCTTATGAAGTACGGTTGACCGAGCGGCATTTCATAGCCACAAGCAATTATGTACTTCATAGTTATGGGGACTTGAATAAAAGAAAGAAAATCACAAATACGATAGGTATAATGATCGGTGAATTGGACATCATTTGATAGTTTGTGGTAGATGAACGAAAAACACTAGACTATAAACCATAGGCCGATTGTGCCTACCAATCAGAAATCGTTCGTCTCTGATAGAACCAAAATGACTAGCACGCGATTGGCAAAAGTTTGGTTGACCAATGATTTTTTTCAATAAACGAACTGCTATTTCTGTGACCGTTTCCTCGCGTCTTAGTTACGTGGGATATCGCGTGCAAGTACCAATGTGATTCAGTGCTTACGTTGCCTGTGTGAATGCCAATTTGTGATTTGTATTTCGTGTTCAGTGTGTACTACAATTACTACAGGAACTGTGCGAATAACAAAAATTAACTGAGTTTCCCACATTGAACTCCTATCATGATTTTCCAAAACAGAGTAGTTACTACACGGTGCAAGATCGCAGCTGGTGTCGTTTCTGTTAATTTGTTCACCAGAGTTTAATGAGACTGAATGACCAATATAAACTTCCCGGATCAAAACCAACGCAGAGCGTACTGTATTTGTTATTCCAATCGACGGTAAGCGGATCACCTGATCCCGTTAGTAAACTTGACGAGTGTTATTTGTAAACAAGGACAGTTTAGATTTATGAATATGTACTTGTATCGAATAGTACAGCGGAAACACTCTTTAAAGTTACCCCGGAGATAAGTGTCACTTTGCTCCATCTACGCACTCCAGAATTATAATATTCCACAGAGACTGGTTGCTATCCTGAATTACGAAAACACTTTCGCTAGGTGTCAACTTATTTCCTAATTCAGTGGTTTATCCTCAAGAAAGCCATCTACTCATGTGCACGGATGCAAACGAATGCATACTGCAGACCCACCCCTCGCTAATTTCCGTGCTGACAGTTGTCACATCATGGCAGTTGCGCATATAAACCAAGAAGACAGTATAATTTCACTTCATGTGATCCCAAGCACGTGTTTCATTGATCGATATTCGTCACCTTGCAGCTGGCAATATGGTGCACATTCGGAAAGGAGATTGACAAAATTGAGGCGAATATTGCTGATAATACGTGTGGTCTATGATTATAAATATTCCTAATGATACTTCCATCATCATACATTGTTACGTGATGTGATGAAATTCTTAGTGATTTGAACTTCTAGGTTTTTTGGACCCCAAATGTACGAACCCAAATGAGCGGAATCAATGAGGGGGACGTTTAAACAACCATTTCTTTCGTCGATTCAGCGATGGCAATAAACATTTGAAACCTATCCGTGGATAATTGTTCAAACCAAACGAAACGAACAGCTCAATAAAAAAGCACCCACGAGTTTCCAATTTGGCAGTCCCTCGGTAAAAGAAAATCGACCAATTTACTTACTGAGTGTTCTGTGCGTTAATGCGTAGTCGGTCCATTCGATGTTGCAGTTCATCTTTGAAACTGGAACTGGGATACTCGTAAAAACTGGGTAATGTGACTGCTGTCGGTAGACTGGCGCACGGTGGATGCAGTGTGGGTGAAAGGGGAGGAGAAAAAGGGGACTGACCAGTTAGACTGTAGAAAAATTCCACTTTGGTTTCTGGTAACTGTTTCGCCATAAGCGGGGTGGATGTGTTTGGGTGCGAACGTTCCGATGCGGACTGGGACTCGGATTTCGTCTTCAATCCGCCACTATCGCTAAAATGACCCTCGAAAAATCGTTGTTTAGCTGTGGCGGTATCTGTTATGCTTGTCGTGGGTGCTGATTCGGAACTGAGTTGGTCTACACCGGAATGGTCTGTATACAGACTTAAAGAATCTATATGTGCATCTTTACTGGATCCTGCTTGTCCCGGTTGCCCACTTGGAGCTGAGTGCGGTATAGTTGTATGCTTTTCTTCTGTCTCTTCGTGTGGTGATCGCACTGAATGGATTTGTGTCGAAGAATTGGTCACATTTGGACGATATGCCGATTCAATTTGTAAGGTGTGAGGCAGCACTGTTGTGGGTCGAATTGTATTCTCATCGGCTTCATCCAAAACGTCCGGTGAACTGGTCTTCGTGCGTATCATGGAAGACGGAGATGCGGATGATGCTCTTGAAGGAACCGATGCGTGCAAATCCCGACTGGTCGACCCCTCTTCTATAAGGCCCTGACCTAACACAGATTTGTGCTTATTCAACAGTATTTTGCTGTGTTTGTTTGTTTGATGTTCCGAATCGATCCCGTACAACTTTTGTTTCAATTTTTCCTGGAACATTTGTTGACTCTGTCGTAGTTGTTCTATCCATCGTGTCTGTTGTTTGGGGTGGAGAAACAGAGAAATGCATATCGAGTTAATTACAAATACTGTTATTCAGTCGAATTTAAAGAAAGAAAAGAGGGTCGTCCCTAATAGAAGGTAACAGCTGATATGAATGGTTTTGCAACCACGGACAACAAACATTGACCATTGACCTTATTAGAATAAATCAACATTGAGTTCCATTTTTGAACTGGAAGATGTAACTAACGATTGAAGTCGAACTACATGATGCATTACCTGAGCGTGATTTTCAAATGTTCCAAAGTAGAATAATGAATACTTTAATTCAATTGCATGATGCATTTTGACCCATGCACAGAGTATATCTAATGTAAAACAACTAGAACTAGACAGGTGTATAGCCCGTCGTAACTATTTGGAGTGTCATCGCCAGGGTGAGTGAATTGGCCCAAATGGGGATCGGATCTGGAATCGCCTCAGAGATAGAGCGGAAGCACCCACAGTAAACGCGATCCAATGCACTGTGTACAACAAAATCTATTCCGTGGATAAACTTTGTGTCAAACTTCGGCGAGAATAAACGCGCTTGGAATTACGAATAGAGTCGACTGTATGAGTTGAACTACGACCAGCCCGAGTAAGCACACACACACAGACAAAAATGGACGAATTCCTCTAGAGCTACCTTTTAGTCCTGTTTTAAAATCACATATAAATCAGCGAAACTATCATGTCAACACGGCTACGTAAATCTGTGAAGGGGAATAGGACTTTGCGGTTGCAGAAAAGCACTGATGATGCTGTTTCACTACAACCGCCCGTTTTGCCTCCTCTCAATGGGTTTGCCTAATCACGGTGAACACTCATAAATCTGGAAGAACAGAATCCATGTGGGTTAAGATCGTAAGCACATGCGAAAACCCTAAACTTTCAGTGCATAAGTACTGAAAGTTCATCTGCACGAACCATAACCCACCATGAGCCTGTAATGCGGCGCTTTGTGCAAACGTTTTCACCTTCTATGGCGCAGTGTTTGCGGAGGGAGTGTCAGGATATATAAACGAAATAAACGTGATATGGAAGCACGAGACAAGGTGGAGTATGAAGCTGTTGAATTCTTCCGTCCCAGGATAGTTTTGTATAATTTCCTTATGCATTTTGGTGTGATTTATTTAGATGGTTGATCTAAGAGAGCCACGTGTTGGTGACGTCATAAATCGTTTTTGGGTATTTGGGGGAACCGTTCAGTCGTGCTCTTTTCGGAAATGAATTAAATACAACTTTTAAGCCTGTTTCAAATACTCACCTTTTATAGAGGACAGGTCAATTAGCAATGTGGCTTATTTAAATCTAATAATTCCATCGTACAATAACTTTAACTTACACACAACAGTAAGGACTCTAGTATTAGAATTTGTTTCTCTACTGCGTTGCGATTCTTAAACACTTATGAATCCAGTAAATTAAAGTATAATGATCTGTATAAACATAGGGAGTTCCATGATATCTTTGTGGGCAAAATACTGCTAGGTTGTCCGGGTCACATGTTCATGGGGCATTCACCAACGTAGCCCTCCGATAGCCAAAACCTAACCCTCAAGGCAGCAGGGCACTGTGCGAAAGCAACAATTCATTGAGGGCCGGTTCAACCGATCGTACGTACACCACAAGGCTCTAATAACTTTCCTAGCATTCATTTTCAATATATCCACTGTTTAACGTTGTCAACCTCGGGGGAGTTCACCTTGAAGGTAGATTACGCATTTTTCGACTTGACTCGATGTAGATAGGTCGAGCGAAGTTCGATCGTAGGACGTTCCTAATATTCACAGCACGTGAACAATGAAAGTGTGAGATAACTAACTACACTATGGCATCATTGATTTTATTCCAAACGGTGTAACGTTCTTCGTAAGTTGCTAGTGGAGTGAGTGAAAAGCAGGGGCTCACCGTATGTTCAGTCCCTCGCGCCCTATGAATGACCTATAAAGTCTCTTCTGTACGGCTTTAAATGATACATTCTCGGATCCGTGGAATCTATGTGACGGGCTTGATAAATACGGAGATATCACGAAAATGTGACATCAATAAACCAACCGATTAAGATGTAGCTTTCCACCAGTGTAATGTAATTATTGAATTGAAATTTTAACTTCAGACATACAAACGTTTTGTTGAACATCACCAGGTCTAATTGTAATGGTCAAGCGATCAAACCAGAAAGTGGACTACCTTGAATGGTTTTTTTTGCGTCGATTGTACTCCGTTTCCTCTCCTCCAACTGCATGTTTCAATCATATCCTATCACAGTCAGTCCCCATATTGATTAGTATAACATTCGCATCCCGTGGAAGATAAATCTGCTAAGCAACAGGTAATGTGAACACCAAATATTTTTTATTCGTTAATCTCTAATCTGATCCATACTACTTATTTACTTCGATATCTGGCACACCTTTAAACGAAGGGCATTCACTATAGACACTCGAAACGGTCCTCCTCCATACCTTCCTGATTTGTGTGTTTTCGCAGGAGGCCTTTTATGTACCGCTCCATTATAGCATTCTTATTGGATAAAAAGACCCAGTATAAAATAATATTATTGATTTTATATATCTTTTTGGAGACTTGGGAGGTAGGTTTGATGTTTTCGCGTCCTTTTGTCATGTTTAGATAACCTAAACAATTGGACTGATGTAACTCGAGTCGGGTTTGTGAAACGATGAGTTTTCAAACATCTCTATCATCCGTGCATCCGAGAGAGAGAGAGAGAGAGATAGGGAGGGTATACAAAATGAGTTCAAAAGCCTAACTTTGACTTTGAACGCTGTGCAAAAAACAAGAGCACAGGGCACATGGAAGCTCCAAACACAACTCCATCCTCGAGTTGATTCGATTAATCCGTCAGAATTGATTAACTCTTTGTCATCTTATCCCCACTTGGAAGAAAGTTCCAAAACATTCATCCAGCTGATCTTGAGGTGGGGTGACTGTTACTAGCCGGGCCACATATTGTGAGTGCATGTTCAACCCAAAATCACGTGCGATTTACCACGGGGTGAATGAGAGATGGAAAACAATGATAAATCGATCGTCCCTCACAGTTATCAATATCGGCGTTATCAATGTTTGTTTACAAATGGAGAAGATCACAAGAAAAAAATAAATCAAATCAAATGACACACAGTACAGGAGAGAGGAGAATGAAGAACAGCAAATAAAAACACGAAATGAATTGGTTCCCGAAAACATTTGTGAAACTACGGGGTGTCTATTGGAAACCACCGATTTATATTCAGCTGATCACGATGTAAGGAAATGTGATATCACTCCCATCTGAATGATGCGGAGTTAGGGAGCATAACTACAACAAATCGAGATTTCGGGATAGCAGTAAACGAACGCATTCTGTTCAACGGACTAACACACACGTGTGGTGAGGTCCGATAACATTTGGTTTTGCTATTCCCATTCTCGTTTGGGGTGGCTTGTGATTTTGGTGATGATGACGATGATGCTAATGATGATGATTACTCGAATGATGACAATTATAATAATAATGCAACCCTTGTAAAGGGGCCTGACTTGAGATTAATATCATATGACGTAAAACGGCAGATCGTTTGAAGGCGTCCAACTAAGGCAGCTTTAGCAAATCATGTCTGAAACCTGCAAAGGGAAATCACAGTCTGTCAAGGAGCACAAATCACTGAAAATTCGGGAATCAACAATACCCGACAATCGATGGATTAACGAAACTCGGACCCCTGGGGAACAAATGTCTAGTGATTCGTCGCTCCGTGCACGACAAAATGAAGCACATTGCTAATTCCTACTAGATAAGTCTGACCTGCCATCTGTTTTATTGAATGGCTTTTACTCCTGGCGCACAACTACAACATCCTCACGCTGAATGACTGGTAACTGTAAGTGGCTTGTCATCCAACGTGTGTGTTTGATTCCGTTCTTAAGCCACATAAAAATAAAGCCTTACTATAACCGTGCAACTCCTTTGTCTGATCAGGAAAGTTGTCAGAGTAACAAAGCAAACACCAAACAAGGTATTTCGTTGTCTCACGTGATTTTTCACTTCCCTAGAAGCTAGTAACAAATTCCCGCTCGGGGTAAGTCAATTACACAGGATGATAGATTAACGTGTCTCACTATTCAGCGAGCCTGTATATCTACAGTAAGACCAACGTCAACAATGGTCTTTAGCGCTTGATCCATTCATGATTGATGAAGCGTACTCCGCTCGATATGGTTTTTGTGAGGTATGAATTTAGGAAACCTTAAACTGTGCTCTCACTGAATATCATACCTTTTATTGTCAAACTGAAATGGACTCCAAAAAAAACCCACTCAATCGTAGTTTGGACCCAAACAAGGACACCGGTGTACATTCATTGAAATCCAGTGTCAGAATACATTTGCCTCGGTTGTTATGCACAAAACATTCCATGCACCGAGCAACCTTCGGGAGCAGGTCGGCGCATAATCTCACTCCGTGATTAGAGCACAAGCATGCCACTGAGCGATCTTGCGTCACTTCAATATTCTGATTACACAAATAAAAGCATTGCTTTGCATCTAGATTGTCAAACGGCTGACATTGTACCAGCCGATCACGGTGAAAGCTTCCAAAAAAGACCCAAATCATGGCATTGGCTTCCAGAAACGTTCTGTTTACAAATCCGAAACGCATTAGAATAGTATTGGAATTGACCGGTCAGGTTAAATCCGGAATTAGAAATCGTGAGCATTGATCAGCAGCCTCATCCCTAACTTCATTCACTCGGTGTAGCATTAATGGCGAGTGACTTGAACGAGACAACAATGATAATAATAACTGCAAAAGCTGTTTCATTCTTCCCCGAAATTTCCTCTCCTCGCACAGTTGTGTCTAGTGAAAACTGTGCCCCGAGAGAGCGTGAATTACAATATGACACATCACGTGACTGATGACAACCAGTACAGAGTCATTCTTCTGGCTT